CCGCTGCGTCCACAGTTGGCATTGCAGCCCTCGGTTGGGTGCCCGAAGACACCGCAGCGGTCGCAGTAGCCCGTCGTACACTGTGCCCGGACGTGGCCCTCCTGCCTGCAGCGTCGGCATACGCGCTTCAGGCCGCGGTAGTCAAAAGTAGCACGATGTCCGGCGACGCGCAGGAAGTTGGGCAGGGGGTTAGCCTCCTTCATCTCCATGCGGATGAAGCGGGTTCCTGTTTTCACAGTCGCCGTTCGGTGGTAGGTTGCGTAGAAGACGTCGATGACTTTGCCGTACGGGGCCAGGGCTTGGACGAGCTGGTCGTTGCGCACAAACGTCGGCAGGAAGAGGCAAGTCACATTCGTCACCTGCGGACCCGTCGGCGCGATGGGGACTGACTGGTTGGCGATGGAGACGCTGCCGGCCTCACGAAGCTTGAGGGCGGCTGCACGGGTGTTGACGACGACTTGGAAGTTTGTACCTCCTAGGTGCTGCGCCGAGAAAATTTCGGGCAGCCCCACAATGGCGGATATCCCATCAATGAGATCGTCCGCCGATGTGCCTACTGGCACGACAACGTCGAAAGCGTGCGCTTTCGGCGGGGGTACTAAACTCCAATAAATTTCATGCAAAAAGAGTCTTTTCCGTTTGTTTTTACAGAAAAACAGGCTTTCAAAAAGCTCGAGGTGACCACAGTACAAACAAATGATAAAAAGTGGCGCTGTTGTCGCATTTAGCTCGGTCTCGGTGGACGCCAGCGGCCCAGGTTTCGACGGCGAGTTTCCCAACTGAGTGTTTTAGTAACGTTGATGACCAGTGTGACCACTGATCTCTATGACTCTATGACAATTGCTGGATCGCGCTTCCCCGCTTGTTCGCTGCAGCGCAAGTGAAGCCACCGGGCTTCACTCGCTTGGGATACGATTTGCCGTTTTTGCTAGCCTTTGCTGCGGTTTTCCAGCGTGCTGACGACACGTTTTCTACTCGTTCGTCGTCATTCGCCGAAGAAGTTTTTTGAAGACTCTGTGTATTGTTGAGACTTGCCGTTGTGAACACGTGGAAAAGTTTACGAAAGTGCAGTGTCGCAGGAAAAAGGCACAACGCGTCGAAAGGAAGGGCTGGCGGCGTGTTCAAAGCATCCTTGGCACGCCGAAGTGCCGTGTCTCTGTGCCTTCGCACGCTTGGATACCGACCAAGAACCGACGCCGTGTGTATGTGTTCAGCGAGTGCAACGTGCGTGAAGCTGTTCGTGCCTCTGGATCAGCGTCTTTTCCCCTCGCGGTTTAGGAACGAGCTTAATCCAGCGTCCGCTAGCGACGGAAGATGGGGAAAAGGTACGTCTTTTTTTCGTCCTTAGACGATTTACACAATACCGTGCACAACAGCTCCTCATCACTGATCAGTGCTGGCTTATTATCAACCTACGCGACTCGCCTAATTGTAATTGGTCAACAGATTGCACACGACCATATCGGCCGCGCTTCAAAGATTTTCATTCTCGCCGTCTTGTACTTTTGCTTTCGAAAACCCCCCTGGCTCCACGTACAACGTTGCCCTATTCGTGCTCCCACGGAATCTATTAGAGTAGATTTGGGACATAGCCATGGTTAATATAGTACATAAGAATACGTACAGATCTCCCCCTTTTATTGATAGCAACTCACCGGAACAGCTGGACGATCCAGAACTCCGTGGCCGATATATATAAATGATCTAAAGGCATCTACGCGCGACACACGTTCAGAACTTTGGCGCGGCGTCAATTCTTGACCGGTATCCAAGCGTGCGAAGGCACAAAGATGCATCACTCGGCGTGCCAAGGAAGCTTTGATCACGCCGCGACACCGGCGACACGTTTTCGACGAGTTGTACCTTTTGATACGGCTTCACGCACATTGCACTCGCTAAACACATTCACACGGCGTCGGTTCTTGGTCGGTATCCAAGCGCGCGAAGGCACAGAGACACGGCACTTCGGCGTGCCAAGGATGCTTTGAACACGCCGCCAGCCCTTCCTTTCGACGCGTTGTGCCTTTTTCCTGCGACACTGCACTTTCGTAAAATTTTCCACGTGTTCACAACGGAAAGTCTCAACAATATACAGAGTCTTCAAAAAACTTCTTCGGCGAATGACGACGAACGAGTAGAAAACGTGTCGTCAGCACGCTGGAAAACCGCAGCAAAGGCTAGCAAAAACGGCAAATCGTATCCCAAGCGAGTGACGCCCGGTGGCTTCACTTGCGGGAGCGGCAAGCGCGATCCAGCAATTGTCATTGAGATCAGTGAGTGTGACGGCTGTCATGGATGGATGGATGGATGGATGATGGATGGACCAGAGCCGTATATGTAGAGAGTTTGGTCAATGGGAGGCGCGGGCAGAGCCAGGGCGTGCGGCAGACTCGGAAAGAGGGCTTGGCATGCTCTCTTGACCAACCAGAAGCCGAAAAGAATCCCCTAGCGGTGGTAGCGAGAAACAGTTCTGAGCCGATCGATCATCGAAGGTCTATGTTCGTATAGGGTTTAAATAAGTGCGTAAGAGTGAAGTGTAGTAACTCTTTGTGGTTGAAAATAGGGTTCACGTGTTGTTTCATCATGATCATGCAGAAAGATGTAAGAAACGAATGCGCCGCTCAACTCTGTTTTGCGCGGAAAGAGTGTGACAGCTCTGATGGGCAGATTCCCGGCGCTCGGCGTTTGGCGTAAGGATTATGTCGATCTTTCTGCTAGTCGCACTCTTCCACCATCATTTTAGATGAGTGTGAATGAAACATCACGTGTACCATATTTTCAGCCATCAAGAGTTACTCCAATGCAGTTATCAGGTTTGTTTCTCGCGACCACCGCCAGGGTATTATTTCCGGCTTCTGGTTGGTCACATTCGAATTTCTGAAGACGCCCTGGAACACGCCCAGCCCGCTTTCGGCCAATGGCGCCGCTTCATTTGTCTCCTATACTTCCCAACGAATGGCCAAACTCTCTACATATACGGCTCTGGGATGGACTAATCCAGCTGAGTGCTTCGAATCGGGCGGTAGCTTACGCCACCTAGTCATACGAGGAAGAAAGACGCTTTCAGACGGTGTCTGAAGACTCTCTTTTGCATGGTGTATTATCGGCGTGGTTGCGGCTTGAGGAGGCGGACGCAGGGCACGAATTGGGCACGAGCGTTACGTCAACGTTCGGTTGGCACTCGGGTCCTCGCCGATTGGAGACGAGTCTCAGCCGAGTGCTGACGCGACACTCGGGTCCAATCCGTGCACCGCGCTCGCCTCTTTGGGTGACGTCACCTCAAGGACCGGAGGGGAAAAATAGTTTTGCTCCTCGCGGAACGGTATTGATGCGTCGAATCATGTGTCTACGTGTTGAATTAAGTAATCCGGTGAATTACGATGTGGGTGCACCTCGGATGTGCTTTATGCGTTACTTTATCGGGACGTACAAGCTTTGAACGACATCGTGTCTTCCCTTAACGACCAAATTTGTTGACAACTATATACTTTGAACTGTGTCGCTTCGAACTGTTGACCCTCGGCTCCGAAACTCCGCTCTCTGCGTTACGTGAGCGATACGACGGACCAGTCGACTTTTGTGTTTTTCCCTTCTCAAATGCACGATCCGTCTCGGGCCGCAGGAGGTAAAAGCCACGCCAGAATACTCAATCTGGGAGCTGCCTTGTTGCACACGTGGTATTTCGACTGCTATCGACTTGTGTGATCTATAGGCGGTCATATTGAACGCGTGATTTCTACGTTTATTTATAACGCCGTTCCGCATTATACACTCTGTTTCATGTCGAAGCCGCGATCCGACGGGGTCAGTCAAGCCCTGCCAAACGTGCGACGTCACGCTTCTCGTCGTTTGTACGTTTGCCACCACCGACCCCATTCACTTGGAAGTGCAGATAAAATCATTATTATTATTTGCCTGAACATTTGTTAAACGCACCAACAAACATCGCTGAAATAGTAACCTAGGTTATTTTATTTAAAAGTTTGGTCCTCACCATGTTTTTTTTTCTTTTTTTTTTAAATCAAAGTTTCTACTGGCAACAATGAAAAAATGACGTCAGGGAAAGGCGGGGGTTTTCTCTTTGGGGCTATAGACTTTGTTTCCAACTGATTACGAGCAGTTTCATGGTGTCAAAGGAATGCCAAAAAATGGTCCGAGTACCCCTCTAAAGGTATACGTTTGTGCTGGCCGTGTGAACGGAGTATAGCTTTGCAGCCGAGGCACCGAACAACAGAGGAACCTGCTCCGTTTATTGTTTCTTTTTGGTTTTGTCTCGTATATTTGGAGATAGATCTTTCGCGCAGTTATTCAATATTTTTCTGTATAACTACCGATATCTAAAGCGTGTAAACGATAAAATGTCGAAGTAATGAACTTCACTTCTGATGCAACGATGGCGCTATGCCGTGAGACCATCAACACGTAAGTACACAACTCTTTCCTAAGACGAAAGGAGGAACCTGCACAATTGATTTTGCTCTTTGGACAATTATCGAAACAATCGGTTCTTGTGCGTATTGTAATCCTACATTAAATATTTGTAGTTTTGTGTATTTTACGAAGGTGCAGTATACCACGCGGAGCGGTGTGGACTTTCCTACATTTAGTATTTAATTTAGCTGTAATTGCTGTGATGTGCACGGCAGTTTGCCTGTGTCCACGCAGTGGGTCCTGTTTTCTATGAGGTCTTTCGTCTGGCGGAACAGTTCACAGAAATAATTCGGAGGCCTCTTTCAGATATTCACTTGTTTTCATGGATCAATACACCCTTTTTTACAAAGAAACGCACAACCGTAAATACTAATAAAGAAAAATCTTGGTTAACATTAAAGACGTTATCACAGTGTATGACGATGTTAAACCGTCCCAAGTTGAACATATATTACCACAACAGCAACATCACTAAGTATACGCTTTATGTCCCAGAGCTCTCGGACGTAATGGTATATGAAATTCGGTTTTTACGCGTGATTGTAGACCTTAGGAGGACTAAAATTGAATGGTTTTCACGGCAAGTTTTATAAACACTCAAACAAAAAAGACCAGCTTTAGTGTCGGCAATTCGTGCTGTAAAATTTTAAATTGAGCACTCAGAGAACGTTCATCTTACGATCAATAAAAAAAACACATCGGACTGTCGTCGTGCACGGCCAGAAATTTGAGACTCGTAACACGAGCCTCGACAGACGAGGGTGTTTACACTTCCATCAACGTCTCTTGGTGGAGGTTTTCGAACCGCCGGGCTCGAAGAAGCACACGGTACTTTGCGTCGAAGGCTGGTTTCAAGAGCAGAACTCAGGCCCTAGAATTGTTCCGATGCTTGTTTCCCACACTGGACGTTCCAGATGTGCGGCGCAGCTTGCGGTACTGGCAGGCGTCCACGGCCGGCCGCGTGCTGAGGTACCATACCCGAAACAAGTAAGGCGTGGCCAGGGTCGGCAGAAAGGCGATGAGCACGGCGAAGGCAAAGGACAGGTCAAAGTGCACGCTCTGCTCCGGGCCCTCATGCACGACGTGGACGATGAGACGCAGGATGTTAAGGGGCAGAAGGCAGACGGCATACACAGTGACCATCATTAGGACTGTGTTCTGCGTGCGCCGCTCTTTGGACCAGTCAACGGCGTCCTCTGGCGATTCTTTGCAGACTGTGGACGACGCCCTCGAAGACTTGCTGCGGGCCGTTTCCCTGGTGGCAACCGGGAAGACGGTGGCCGAGCGAGTGCTGTGTACCGACTCCGGGACCATGGACGATGCCACCGAACAGACGGATGCTTCTTCGCCATTGCTTTCGCGCCGGTTAGTCGCACTCAGCGCGAGGGACTCGGACGTCTGCGTCTTGATCTCGACCGAAACCTTGACGTGCAGATAAAGAACCAGCGCCACGGGCAGCGCGTACAGGACGATGAACAGACCGCGGATGTACTCCTCGATGTTGTCCGTCAGGTTGATGGCGCAGATGCCCGTCCCTTCGAACTGGTGTCCCAGGTACTGCTCCAGGTCGATGAACTTGGTGTACGCGGCGTACGGGAGGGTGAGGATGCCCGCCACCAGGCACACTCCCGCCAGGCACAGGAGCGGCGGTATCCGTCGCTTGAGCGGGTTCATGGCGTACCGATAGCGGTCGCAGGCGATAGCCACGAGCGTCAGGAGGGTCAGGTAGAAAGGGAAGTCTTGGACGATGGGTGACGCGAAGCAGAGGAAGCTTCCGAGCACCCAGTTGTGGAGGAATAGGGTCACCAGCGAGATGGGCATTACCACGAGCAGCTTGAAGATATCGTTGAGGGCGTTGGCGAAAAGGTATGCGCACAGGGATTCCCTGGGACGCTTTTCCCGGTAGAAGTGTAGCACCATCCAGACGTTGGCGATGAGGGACGACACGAAGAGGGAGCCGTACAGGACCAAGAAAAGGGGGTACGAAGAGCGGAACGTTTTCCGCAGTTGGGGCTTGTTGAACTCCGACGTGTCGTTGCTGAACTTGAGCATGAAGTGCATGATGTAACCGAGGTACTTGTCTGGGATCCGGTGGATGTTAAGGTCGCCCGAGCCACCGCCACTTCGGTTGGCCATGGCTCTTCCCAGCTACGGGGACGCGTCCAGGGTAAACGACCTGCGCGAAGATAAATCAACGTGAGTACGTATACATCGCCGTGAACAGAAATACCAAGTTCTAAAGCGTCAATGAATGATCAAAAAAAAAAAAATGCAGACATTTCGAAAAACGGCATATTGAGCGTATAGTGGCAACACGTACAGTACATGCAATGCGCGACACTGTTAGCGCGAACACAACTTCGGTGTTTTTTTGTCATTTTATTTCGAAAGGACACTGGCGGGCTTCAGAATTAACCACTTAGGTTAGTACGATAGCTGAGTACTTTCAACCACTATAGTAGTTTTTTATGACAGAATCTTCAAACTGGGGGAGAAACAGGGAAAACCTTTGACGGCCTCTTCGTCATGGATTGTACGTGGTTATATTGAGCCAAGCACTATCCTTGGAATTTTTATTTTTTTCCCGATAGAATATATTTTTTTCTTAAACGATAAATTTACTATGGAAGCGTCAAGTGGTCATTTGAACAAAATCAAAATGCAGATACCTCTTGAATGTGATTCGACGGTCACTTTGAGTTATTTTCTGGACTCGGTCACGCGTCTTCAAGGACAAAGCCGTTTCGGTCCCCAGGTCACACTCGGTATAACATAAATATGTTAATCACACTCATGTTATATTAAGTAGCAATCCTTCCTTATCGTCGGATGTCTCAGAAAATGCACCTGTTTCCGTTCATAGTACGATTATGTCATAATCTCCAATGCATTTTTTACAGCGGAGCTGTTAAGGGCTAGGTTCCCCAGGATCGTGTCCGTGTGGACACAAACCTACCTGGACAGCTACCGCCATCTATAAGCGACGGCGGCAAGCACACAACCAGTATGGTTTCCGCCGTCGCTCGTAGATGGCGCCAACCTTTCCAGCTATAATAGAAGAACGGATAGTTGGGCGCGTTGGTGGGAATTCATCGTAGGAAACAGCTCGAAAAATAGACGACGACGAAGAAGAAGCACACAGTGTATCGAGTACAGCTCGCTGGTCTTCCTTCTTCACGAGAGTGGAAAGGCTGAACATTTTTTAATATTAAAAGTAAGGTTGACTCTATAGAACTAACGGAAATAAATTTCCAAAATATATGAGGCAACGCTAACGCGTGCTTTAAATATATACGTATTGAGGCACCCTAGAAAACGGCATTGCCACTATACATGTGGCAACGTCATAAATGTCACGTAGTCAGCCGAGGTTTTACGAAAATCAAATAAGGCATCTCACTTGTTTGACCCCAACGTTACTACTCAGTTGGGAAACTGCCATAGAGCCTGTCTCTAAAAAAGCGACACCGATCCGTACTCGAGAACCGAGCTAATGGCGATCGCAACGCCGCCATTTCTCCCACAGCGGCCACTCGAGGAACTACACGTGACTTCTATTTTGGCCTTAATCGGCCATTTTGGCGCCGAAACAGACACAGTGGAAGGGGTTTCAGGGTGCCACCCTTGTCTCCCAAGCGGACGCGCCGCGAACTACTACCGAAGTTAGGATGCGCCTAGGCCGGGACGCGCTACCTGAAGTCGCCGCTGACGTATGGTCGTATAAAAACAATATTAATTTTGCCACAAAACCTTGCAAACTAAAGATTTGAGAAAACATCACGCGCCCTTCATTTCGTACTAAACTCCAATAAAAGTTACTGCAAAAAGAGTTTTTTCCGTTGGTTTTTACGGAAAATCTTGCTTTCTAAAAGCTCTAGGTGACCACAGTACAGACAAATGGTAAAGAGTGGCGCTGTTGTCGTATTTAGCTCGGTCTCGGTGGACGCCAGCGGCCCAGGCTTTCAACGGTGAGTTTCCCAACTGAGGGTTCTAGTACCGTTTTTTGACACTGATGTTTCGAACTGAGGGCTTCAACTATTTAGTTTGTGTGGGAAGAGAGTTGGTTATTTGATATCATATTAATTTACCATAATAATAATTAAAAAAAAAAAAAACAGCACACAAGATAGAACGGGGCTTGTTCCTCCGCTTCGTTCCAGTTTTGACGCAATGTTGGTTTTCTGTATAGCTCCGACGGGAACGGCCCTTAAATGCCTCCGGGCGAACGAACAGCAAGAAAAGAGGTATTTTCTGCTTGTTGTTACGCTTCGATGGCCCTTGCGTAAGTTTATAAGCTGGGATAGTTGGCAAACATAAGTCGCGGTTAGAAACAGCGTGCACAGAGATGACCAAACCCGCGTTACACAAGCGCTTGTGTTTCGTGCGCATTCCTCTCTCTTGTTTTTGTTATCGGTTTTCACCGAAGTTCCAGGAACCACTCATTTGCGGGGAACCGTCAAAGTGTAGCTATGCGGCTGATCCTATAGTTCAGAGAAGCGGGAGCTCAGAATACGCGAAATTATGGTTGGGGCAACTTCAGAGTCCTGTTTCTTTGGTTAGCACGCCAAAACCACTAGGTTTAAAAAAAAAATATATATATATATAAGAAAAAGAAAACGGATAGTTTATTTTATCAACTTCCCAAACAAACGATCATTGGCTAAAAAAGATCGCCCAGGAACGTTGTTATCGCCGCGCCAGCTACGTGGCGCCAGTCTGCAATGCCATCTGGGCTGTCTCTCGAGGAACGCTTGCTTCCCATCGTCACTCGACTCGGGGCGCGCACCGACAAAACCGCGCGGAATGAAACAAATGTGGCGAAACAAATTTCTCTGAACGCTCACTGCTGGTGCGTGCTAAGTTTAACCCGAAATAAATAAGCGCCACGACGGCGTTCGAGCTATTTGGGCCCGGGACGAACCCGGAATGGGTGGAAGGCAGCCCTCCTGACGGCCTTGAAAACTTCGTACGGAACGCCGGGTGTTTTCTTGGGTCGGAAGCTTGATATGGAATCGCCGATAACAAGCGAGCCGTCCCTGGCAGCGTGGTTTAGAAGATGTCCTCAGGGTTTCTCAACGTTCCATAGATGTCCTATGGACGCGTGCATAGGACATTTGTGCAATGGTATCACGCATGGTTCTGCAGACGTCCTCAGGATGTCGTAATGTAGAATGAATGCATCCTACACATTCACCGGACATCTCTACCCTGATAGCACACATGGTTACGCAGACGTCCTCAGGATGTGCTAATGTAATATGGACGTAGGTGCTAGAGACGCTCATAGGACATTTGTGCCCTAGTTGCCCACATGGTTCTCCAGAAGTCCTGAGTATGTCTTAGCGTTTCATAGATGTGTTGCAGACATTCATAAGAGACATGTGCCCTGGAAGAACGTATGGTTCTGCAGACGTCCTCGGGATGTTCTAACGTTCCATAGATGTCTTACAAATGCTATAGGCCACCCAGTGTCCTGGTACCACACATCGTTTAGCGGGCGTCCTCGGGATGCACATAGGACAACTCTGCATATAACAGCTGCGCCCTGACGACAATGTGCATAGGACAACTCTCTCCTGGCAGCACACACAGTTCTAAGGACGCCCTCAAAATATCTTAACATTCCATAGATGTTCCATGAATGTTTATGTGAGATCCGTGCTCTGGCAGAACACGTGGCTCTGCAGATGTCCTCAAGATGTCATGATGTTTCACAGATGTCCTTGGGATGTTCAGAGAACATCCCTCGGAATCCTCGCTAATATTTTATCCGGAGAACAAGTTCGCCTTGAACGCGTGCTTCCTGCGTTATTATGGCCATCATTAAGAGGACCTTGAACCACATAAATTCTAAAAAGTCGACAAATTATGCGCGTGTGCTACCCGATTCTATTCAAAAAGTAAATAAAAGATCTATCGAATGAAAGAACCAGTGTCAGGGTTGGCACTATCGTCTTGCTCTGGCGTGGCTCGACACATTCATTTTCCCAATGGCAGAAATTCACCCGCCGAGAACTAGCAAAGTATGTCGGTCAAGACCGCGCCCATTAGAAACAGCCTCTCGCGGTTTCAGTTATGAAATAATGTCTTTTTTTTTATTCTGAAGCTTGTTATTCTCACGAAAAAAGACCCCACATTATCTCAGTTACTTACTTTAACGAAGATTTTTTTATTTATTGTCATTTATTTGTCTAAATTCCTTTTTACATACAATGCCAGTTGGTGTAGGAACTTGGAGAATTATATAAAACACGCGTAGCAAAAAAAAAAAAAAAAAAAAACGATATTGTTGGTTTTGGTTTTGGTCACGTAATCGGCCACACAGCCGAACTGAAATATGTCGTACACAGAGCTTTGGTGATTGATAGCGAGAGCGTAGATGGTAATATAGGGAGCCACGAAAAAGGAAAATTATGTGTGCTGGAGACAGGTTATTTTAGTTTGTCTGGCGGGCTCGGAAACACGCGACTGGAGTCACAAATGCAACACTACATTTACGTTTCTCAAGTGAACGGGGTTACAAAGAAAAGAATATAACACATACTTTTTATAGCTTTTTATTTAAGTTAAGTAGCTTTTTTTTCATCTGCCGAAAATTTAAATAATATATATAGGGTTTAAAATTTAAATAATATATATTTGTCCAAAACTAATCGGCGTTGGATTTTTTAAAATTCTTTTCTTTTTGTTTTTCTTGGGGTGATTTATCTTACTAAGATAATTTGTCATAGAAAATAACGATCTCTATATCTCTTAATAGGTCCCGTGGGAAATTTTCAGATGATGCATTGCTGCTCCTAACGCGCAAAAACAAAAAAAAAAAAAAAAAAACAATCATAATTTAGCGAAATATTGTCACGGGTGCCAAATGATAAATATTTTCGCACGGTGTTCTAGCATCAAAAGCACGCTATTATAAGAAAATGTGATGATTAAAAATATTTTTTTTTTTATTGTGCAGAACGTATTTTGGATTGCAAGAATCCCCCAAAACACACACACAAAAAAGGTCGCGCGTATATTTTGTTTTTGTTTGTATATTCACGGGTAAAAAATTATACCACATTTAACGTTTACGGTTATTAAAAAACAAAAAAAAAAACCCAAAAATCATTTGCAGAGATGTTTATACAATATTATTTTTTTGTTTGAATATCAACTTTACATTACAATGGT